TGTGTTATAGCTCACCATTTCTGCATCGCGTTGCTATTTTGCGCTCTAACTCTCTTGGTTGGGAGTCCGATGCAAGTGCAAGTGATATTCACCAGTGTAAGGTAATAGAAAACTGGGAGAGCACAACAGCTATTAACTTGGAGGTTTCCTGGTGGGAAGCTTCCACATTGTCAGGCGACGTGAATGAACAATAATATAACGCAAGCAGAGAAGATAACGGAAAACAAGTGGGAGCTGGTTGTTCACCCACCATTACGCATTACGTATGGTAGGCCGTGGAGCCAGGTAAAGGTTAAAATTACGTGCTTACGGCCATGGAAATAAGAAGTGGTGGTCAAAATATCTGGGTGTCTAGCTTTCCAGGTGACAGGTGCCTCACTGCCGCATGGTTAGCTTTTTGCCAGAGAAAAAGAATCCGAAAACATTGTTGTGCAAGCGTAAAGGATTGAAGAAAAGGATCTGGTTTTTCATAAGGCCTGTCTACCAGCGTTTCCGATAGTGATAGGCATACGTATAACTCTGATAAAACTAAATGTACGGGCCAAGAGAGCTTAAGTGGAGAGCAAATGCCTGAATATAGGTTATGGTGATATTGCCTTCTAGGTGGGTAGGTGGCCCCGTTATATAATCAGCGGGGTAAAGTAGCGAGTACCTAAGCGAGTACCTAAGGGAGGGCCTCGGTTATGGGCAACTAGTAGATGCCGATTACGTAGGCTAGTAGAAATACCTATAAAGCAGGCAATTTATACGGCTGTTTTAGACAGATAAATGGTAACTTACGGGTGCACCATATGTGTGGACAACAAAGCTAGAACCTGGCATTTCACAGGAGGCTTAATGTTGGTAAAATGTTTTTAGTAGACGACTCATGGGTCACAGATATACGTATTCGCAAGAAACCAAGTGGACTAGGTATATGGAAAATACTAAGGGGTAAAGATGGAGACGAAGGAACCAAATTGTAGAAGAGAAGGAAGAAGTGAAGTAAAGTTTGTCCGTTCGGATTGCTTCCCCATTGCTATGCAATACCTTACCTGGGCAGTGCCTACAGGCTTACAATGCTCCCATTCAATAGTACAAGGCTGCTTTACGTGCTGATCTGTTGAGCAGTAAGAAACTGGACGTCGAGAAGGAGCTTTCAAAGGATTTGAGCTACCGACTAGTGTTTCCAGGTTGCCTTTGCGGTAGCATCTACTGTTTCAAGACTTCCCATTTAACTAAGTGTCGGTGGGAGCCAGTAAAGCGCTCAGCTACTACTGGAGTAGGCTGAATACCTTTTGTGGTCGGATTAGCAGTCCTAACATCTGTAAGATGCGTGCAACTGATCGGGCCGAGATCTCTCACGTGATGTGACAGGGACCGCAAAGTATGGGGAGGACCTGTGCGCCCAAGATGCTCCTGTCATGAAGCCTAGTTGAGCGCAAAACATGGTTGCGCCAGAGCTGACCAAAATGTGACCTATGCCCCATCGGGGCCGGTCTCAAAAAGGTTGTCATCAGGATCACAGATGTTGAAAAGGCGTCTTATGTTATCCAGGCACATAACTCTAAGCGATAACCGAGTTTCCGCCCTGATCCCATCAGAACGCGGCTTGTGTAGGTTCATGGGATGACCGAGAAGACAAGTCAACCTAGCCGGGCTAATAAACCAGCTCAGGTACGGTCCAACCTTACCTGTTTAAATGAGGTAAGGATTAGGTCTCCATGAAGACTTCGGTGGTGAATTGAATACACACCCAAGCTAAGTTTATGCTCCGAGTACGATTGCTCCCGTAACCTTTCAGCAGTTTAAGGACTTGCGTTTCCGCCACAGTAAGCTCAGCTAAATGAGAACCCTCAGGTAATCTCAGGTAATCAACACTATTCAACGCGGCCTCATGTACAAAAGCCCCTGCCTACTGCTCCCCAAATACACGAGCGTTATCTGAGTTTGCATACGCACAAGTTCCATCGGCCAGCATCAAAGTTAGTATTAGCGAATTTGAACTACAGCGTGTCTTAAAATAAGCGAAAAACTTCGGGTTTTCCGATGCTCCATCAGCCAACTCATATTCGTACAACAGCCGAGCATTCTTTATGTGTTGTTTACACCTACTTCTAGCCTCTCGGTATCTATCATAGGTGCTAGTTGATGGAGTCGCACCGTAGGTCCTCCAGCACCTAGAACGCTTCTGGAACAGGTGCGTACAAGCGGTATCTATCCACGGCAGCTGCGCTCGTGTCTACGTTCTCCTCGCAAGCGGGATGTAGGGAACAGACACTTCGTTGGATACGACTTAAATTTATCCCAAGCCGCCCGAACCGCATCAACCACCAAGACTTTGCAACGCAACCCAGAAGCCTTGATACGCATTGCCTGATAGTTTGCATGCCATATGTTTGGAAATGGCTTAGCGATGCTCTGGTGACGCCTGGTCAGAGTACACATGAAAGTTAAAGCTGATCACTGAAACCTAAGGGAGAGCTGTAAGTGATGTCGTTTTACGAAGACTAGTGAACTGGCAATCACTAGAACCAAAATAGACGGTAGTGGGGAGGTTCCCGAACTGATACAACGGTACTTGTAGCGTAAGCACAAGAAGAGCAGAACCGAATGTTACTTTCGCCGAGTTGCAAGGAACATCTGCCCGGCAAAATTCCGGTAGGTTGAAATCCCCGAGTATTAAACACGTGTTTGCGGACTGGGAGCGCATAAAGTCAAGCTCCTCTTTGGCCGCACTCCCAGGGTCTCTATACACAAGTACAACTTTAAGTTGAGCTGTGACAGTGCTAATCACTACCCACAGAGCTTCGACAGTTTCATCTGCCGTCTGAAGCATGTAGGTACGTAAAACTCAAGTCCACAGCTAACGTAAGGCGCGCGCCACCGTCTTGTCGGCCAACGAATTGCTCACATCTAAATAGTGCGTAGGCAGACAGATGTATTTAACCGTCAGTGACGTCCTGAGACAGCCACGTCTAAGTGAATGCAAGTATATAACGATGAGACCCTAACACAAGCAGACCTATCTCGCACAACCTTAGGATGCGGACGTTGCTTAGCACTACCTGAAGGTACTCGTAATGTCCAGCCTTGGGTCGTGCGCTACCAGTACTTGCAATGGTATGGCGGAAACAGACCGCTGGCAGACCACCCGAATATCCACCAACCGGAGACCTTGTTCTCCAGCCGCTAGCCTGGTTTTGAGGTCTATAATGGCCTCTTTTAGATCCATCCTATCCGCTACTGAGAGGTCTGGTTAAACGCTAACCTTAGAACCCTTCAATTTAAAAGAAAACCGCAACAACGCGTTGCGTTCCTCTGGGGTGGATAGGACTACATGAAATATGCGCGGTCGAGGGTCTGGGGCGTTAACTGGGACGTTATCCAATCTTGTCAGTTTCCTGACCATTTCTTCGTAACAGCTGAGTAACCTCCTCCACTGCCGTAACATAAGCTTTACGATGACGCCGCCGTATGTCATACAAATCGCGCCTTGTTAAACGAAGGTTACCTTGGAGATGCACAAGTGCACGCTTCTCCTGCATGCAATGAAACGTCTTTATTAAGATAAGAACCATACTTTCCTGATCGACCTTTAGCCGCCGATTTTCGCCTTGCAGACAAGGCTTCCCTATGTAAAAACTGTACGAATGCCAAATACAGGCATTTCCAATCTGGTAACATTCCCCCACCTAGAATATTGCGTCCAGGCCTGACCACCATGCCTTGTCCGGGACAAAATGGCACTAGCAAGGGTGTTGCGTGTCGGTACTAGGTTGGTCAACGGATTACGAGGGCAAACGTACACCGAACGCCTACTTAGTTTGGGGATGCATTCAATGCACTATCGAAACCTGGAACCTGCTTCCTGAAAATGTTGTCAAGGAAGCTACGGTTAAGGGGTTTGAGCGTCAACTAGATGCTCTTGGGTGGCAACACGAAACCTTTCCGTTTTCCTGACAAATTCCCATCTTCATACTTCGATTCTATTTTCTTTGCTTTTCCTCGTCATTGGTATTATTCTCTTCTTTTAACTGATTTCCCCTACTCTCTTACCTTCGATTCTTCTTCCTCTCTTACTTACTTCACGTAACTGACACAGCTGGGACAGCTAATGTTAGGAACGTGGGCATTAAATTGGTGGACCAGGGTGTTTTTCGGGTGTTTTCCTTTTAGAGCCATCAAGAAGTCGGAGCACCCCTATCAACTTTTGGATCGACGACCCGCTCAAGAAGGAACACTTACGGGATTCATCCTATCGTTCCAGTCCCACTTGAACTTGAACTTGAACAACCGCTGAGAACAGCGCAGGGCGATTGTAACACCGGTACCTGCTAAAATATATTCAGAAGACGGGTACGCAACACATACCGCTTTCCATCAACATTCGATCGCTTACTATGCACGTACACAAACGGAATATATAGACACTGGCATCTTTCCGGTAGCATCTGTCCAGTCTCCCATTGGTAAGCTTTCACAGTTTTAACGCTCCGACGAATGAACGATGTCTCCGTTTCCATCTGCAAAAGTTTCAGATCCTTATTCATCGATGAAACGCTCATATATGGAACTTTGAAGATACGTCAGAATGCACAAGTGTCATCCACCATGGCTGCATTCGCAAGAAGCGGGAAAATGAGCACCCACCGTAACCCATTTAAACCGTTCACTTTATTGATTTCCAACCCACCTCTTAGCATATTAACAACGACCTTAACGTAATAATAAACACACATGCGTTGGAAGTCCCAAAGGTTTCATGTATCAACATACAACCTTGTGTACCACAATAACACTGCCAAAAAGATCATTGGTCGGATCGGACTCTCCGGCTCTCCACTATCATCAATCAGTGCCAGTTGCTTACAATTCCGTCTCCTGAACATCGTATTTGTGGAATCGCTCTGTACCTCCTGCCTGTTTCGGTATTCAAGTCTTGTACCATTTATCACCCCACTTTTAGATACTATTTCACTAAAACTCCTTGGATCATTTGTTCAGCGCTTTAGCCTGAAATGATCCTCGGCCTTCTCTTTTGCTTATTTTTCACCGTTCAAGCTGGAAGCTTAACGCTGCTAGATAAGTCAACATCTGACTGTTTGGCGGAGTGCAACTCTACCTTCAGGGTAAGTCTACCAATCTTCACGTCTTAGCGGTAACGCAACGACCGATGCGGGTGCTTGTTTGTGCTTGTGGCTGGTTTGGTAGTGTTGTTGTCGCAAACTACTATGCAGTTCTATATTTAGAGGCCACTTAACGAACCATTAATATTTCTTCCGTAACTTCCTGTCCTAACTGCGGTACCGTTATCTGTTTTCTGGTGTTCATATATGAATGCACCTAGGTGCATTGGGAGGTGGAGGACATGGAAAACCCTTGTCGTCTCCTTCGAATCTGATTCAGTGTAGGGTTGGCGCCATTGTTCGAAATACTTGCGCGCAAAGGTGTTCCCACGAAATATGTGAATATTTTCATTGGATCATTGGATGATAGAGAGCAGGAAGTTCCTTTGTCAGCTCCGTCACTTTATTGTCTGACAGGAAAGGTTTACCATAACTAGGACCTTAGCACGATTACTCACGGTCAGGTAACAATAAGTAAAAATCGGCAAATCTGTCTGATGTCACGAACGGGGAAATCGAACGCTCATCGTAACACACTCGAAGGCCGCACGTCATCGAAACCAGAAGACGAACGAAATTCCATTATGCGAATCTACCTTGTTGTGTGAGTTAAAACAAATGTACAAAAATGACGGAACATAGCATAGGGAGTTAAAATGAAAATGTGAAGAATTTACACGCACTACAGGACTCCTCCTAAAGCGTGCGTTGGGAGAACGCACGCCCGAAACTTATTTGTTGTTGGTAATCATCAGTTTGGAAGGCAATACATCAGCGCGTCCCGAGCGTGTGTGCTTTAGTGCGTATGCTTCACTTACTGGTTCAGTGGAGGATGTAGAGGTTGGCACACGGTTCACACATTGGCTGGGTAGGAGGGGTACTGGGGAACGTCTGCTCGGTAGCCTGTTGTGATGTTTTAGTTTGACGTACGTTAGTTTTAAGCGATCAAGGCTGAGAGAATCCTTCGAACCGTTTCTATCCAATACGATTTCTCTTTGCGAGTAACAACTTCGAAGATGCCCTCATACGGCGTTGTCAATGGTTTACGCACCACATCGACACGCACAAAAACGAAAGGGCAGGTATGCAAACCAAACTGGACTTGCTGATTTCAAGGGCTGAATCGAAGCGGCGTTAGCCGAACTGAAGTAAAATGTCGCAATCGTGCCACCTAGGAAGTCGGGTCTAGTTCGCCAGTGATTCTGGAATCTAACACTATGTCACCGGGAAGCCTGAGAGTTGTGCCGAAAACTAGCTCAACGGGACAAAATCCTAGGTCTTCTTTGGCCGTGTTGCGATTGCCAAGAAGGATAACTGGTAGCTTTTCGGACCAGTGCGTGTTCGATTGTGATGCGGTAATTTCGGCTCTCAGTTGACGATGAAAACGCTCAAGAAGACTGTTGGCGGCTGGATGGTAGGCGGTTATTCGCAGATGACAGCAGCCGAGTAGACCATTGATTTCTCGAAATAGAATTGTACTGAGGACGTCTGTTATAATCGTGGTTGGGGTACCAAACACATATCCAGGTTTCAACGAACGTCCGCGAAACAGTTTCGGTTGAAATGTCTCCTCAAGGTACTGCATGAGGCCATCGTGTGAAACGGTCGACACAGGTCAGCAAATACTGGGAACCCTTGGATGGAGGAAGTGGTCCAACGAGGTCAAGGCACACATGTTTAAATTTAGCGTCGGCTAACACGTGCCATGTACGATGATTGTATGTCGAGGTATCTTGCTAGTTTGACGAGTGACACAATGCTTCGCCCACTTTTGGATGTTGGAACGCATATTGCGCCTTACGTAACGATCGGCGATTAACTTGACCGTGGCTCGAATGCCAGGGTGAGAAAAGCCATGCAGGTGATCGAAAACGATTCTGCGGAATTACTGCGCAACAAAAGATCTTGGCTTTCCAGTCGATAGATCACAATAGACCTTAGGGTCGGAATTAACAATGGGCAATTGAGAGTTTCAATGAAGTGTTTGTTCTCAAGTCTGTGAACTCAGGCTCTTCTTGGTGAGCTGCAATCTTCTCGAGGTTAGTAGTTTGGCGTGAGATATGGTGGAGATCGATACGAGACATTGCGTCTGCAACAGTATTGTTATTGGCATCAACGTGACGAATATCTGTCGTGAATTGTAGTCTAAATGACGAGTCTCACGAGATAAAAATCGATCGGTGGAACCGCGGAAGACGAAAACTAGCGGTTTGTGGTCCGTAAGGATAGTGGAGGTACGTCCATCAAGTAGATATCGGGAGTACTTAATAGCAAGGTAAATAGCCAGAAGTTCGCGACTGGATGTGTTGTATCGAGTTTGAGCAGGCTAAAGCTTTTTGGAGAAAAAACAAGTTCAGGTTGGTTGTTGATCAGCTGCTGTAAACCGGCGCCAACGGCAGTTTGTGTTGCATCATTCGAGAGGTGCATCGACATCGGTTTTCATGTGGCTAAGCGCGGTTGCGTTGGATAAGGCCTGCTTGATCTTATCGAATGCTACAGTAGCTTCTGCTGTTGGTTCAAACTTTCGGGACTTGCCTTCTAGTGAATCCGTCAGAGGCTGAAGTAGCCGGGAACAATCTGGGATGAAACGATTATAATACTTGACAATCCCGAAGAAACGACGCAAATTTTTGAAGGACAGGTATTGGGTGATCCTCGTTTGCCTGCATCTTTTTCGGGAAATAGGTGACCGAGAAAATCGACACAGGATTAGCCAAGAATACATTTGTCCACGTTAAACGTCACGCCATACTGATCAAAATGCTCGAATATCAGACGGAGATGTGACAGGCGTTCCTCATCGTTCAACCTGGCTACGAGAATGTTGTCGATATAGGCGAAGACGAAGTCTAACCCTCTAAGGACTTGATTAATGAAACGCGAAGAAGTTTGGGCAGCGTTTCGCAAATCCGAAGAGGGTAGTCATGGCGGTCTTTGAGATGTCGTCAGGAGTGACAGGAATGTGATGGTATGCACAAACTAGGTCGACTGTAGAGAAAACAGAATTTCCGTGCGTTGCTAAAATATCATGGATATGGGGAATTGGCTATTTATCTGGAACAGTGACACTTGAGCGCACGCTAGTCGCCACCTGGTCTCCAATAGCTAGTCTTCTTGGGCACCAAATGGCACCGAGTGGCCTCGCTCATGGCTCACTAACCCTGCCTGACTAAGGCCCTCGCGACCGCATGTTCTACAGCACCATGCGCTTGATGTCGATGGAGTACAATTCATAGGTGCTTGCCGCTTCCCCACTTGCCGCTTCTTCTCTGCATGCATGAGGTCTTCCTCCCGCACTTCAGCAACTGCCTTCGTGATGAGATCGCGCCTTGCACGCCGATCAACCGCTTTCGATTCCCATGACCTGCAATCAAGATTAGAACGTGTGAGGCTCACTTTGATCATACATATATGGTTGGCGGCATCCGGTTTCGGATTTGCCTGTCACTATGGCCAGCCACAGGACGTCTGCGCCTACAGAGGGACCATGGGTGGCTTGCGCTGCACCACCCACGGCTCCAGCCACACCCCATATCCAGTGTAAACCTGAAGGAATAAGACCGGGAGGCATGTGGATGGGAGCCACGTTTCATCAACGGAGCCGGCCCACACTCCTTCACTAGCAAACACAAGCACGCTGTATTTGGGAATCAAGCGCACACAATGCGGTGGCTGGACCGTAATCCGCTCCACACTGAGTGCATGGAACCACTCTTCGAGCCTAGCACGGCCACAAGGACCGTGCACCCCGTCCCCTCCAGCAACGACCAACTGTCTCCTGGGGCCAGTATGGACGAGCTAGTAGATAATGGACAGATAGGCCCCTAGTCAACATGCACATCAAGCGCGGCCACACCGGGGATATCACGCAACAGCCAATCACTTGAGAGAGAGAGAGACAAAGAAAATAACTCGATTGATGCATAAGGAAACAGTGACATAAATCTTAAGTTAATGAGCATATGAAATAAGTTGTTTACAAACAAATCCTAGATAAGTTCCCGAGGTGAGAAAGTATACTATACGGAAATGCCACGAACACAAAAATGTTATGGAAATCGAATACAATTGGCTTAAGCGAGGTGTGCAAGTTAATGGAATAAAGGTAGACATTTATATGAGAAGGAAAAGCATTTAGGCAAAATTGAAAACCCACCACCTGAAATAAAGAGACTCAGCATGCAAGCACGCGGTTAGTAAAAAAAGTGCAGCGTATCTACAGACGCTGCGCCGGTTTTGAATACTTCTCTGCATAACCCGTCGTCGCTTTAGTGGTCCCGAGTGTCCTCGCTCATGGTCCACTAGACACTAGACGTTAGACATATATAGAAGAAAGGCATTAGGACAAAATTGAAAACCCACCACCTGAAATGAAGAGACTTAGCATGCAGGCACGCGGTTAGTAAATCGGATGCAGCGTACCTACAAACGCTGCGCTGGTTCTGCCTATGTTCTCTGCAGAACCCGTCGTCGCTTCGGTAGTAGTCCCGAGTGGCCTCGCTCATGGCTCACTAAGCCTGCCTGACTAAGGCACTCGCGACCGCATGTTCTACAGCACCATGCGCTTGATGTCGATGGAGTACAATTCATAGGTGCTTGCCGCTTCCCCACTTGCCGCTTCTTCTCTGCATGCATGAGGGCTTTCTCCCGCACTTCAGCAACTGCCTTCGTGATGAGATCGCGCCTTGCACGCCGATCAACCGCCTTCGATTCCCATGATCCGCAATCAAGATTAGAACGTGTGAGGCTCATTTTAATCATGTCCTGGTATCGTAACTTTGGTTTTCCCCACGTGCCGCTTCCCAGTACTCAGCTGACCGTATAAAAATTGTTTCGGTATCCGCGTCGAATCCATACGGCTCACATGACCTAGCCATCTCAGGTGTCTCAGTAAAAGTATGCAGTCCACTGCATACATCCCACTTCGGCGCAAAACTTCCGTGTCTGCAACTCTGTCGCCCCAGCCGATGCGCAAAATCCGTCGCAGACACTGCTGATGGAAC